CTGAGGCCGCGCTCCGCCCTCTTCCCCGGCGCGGACAAGCAGGCCTGTCCGGGGGGGCCGCTCCTGTCCCCCCTCACGCTGGACGTCCCTCTCTTGTCTGCGTTCAGCATCTCCAAACCCGACAGACTGGAAACCGCCAAAAGTGCGCGCGTCCCGGCGCTGTCCCCCGCCGCCCACATGCTGTACGGACTCCCCGTATCGGGGAACGTTCTCCCCTCCGCCCGGGAATCCCTCCATTGCTCTGTGCACCCTTCCTACGGCTTCTACAACCTCGCCGTGCCGCCGCACTTCATCGCCGCCAACCAGTACAAGATGGCCGACGCTTTTACCGCGTCACACATAGACGGCCGGCCCAACGGTTCCCGCTGGCCGCCGCCGCTCAACCATTGCCTGTAGAGAGGGAGCGGCGCGACATTATTTAACGCGAGATGCTTTGCGATCGGTGGAAATGGACGCCTCTCGCTGGCCGACGCGGAAAATAATCCTTCATCAAAAATGGACTTTTATCAGCCGCAGAGCCGCTCGAATGTTACGTCACCAAAGTCACGGCGCCGGTTCTTGCTCTCCTCACAGGTATATCCCTACACCACGCTCCCTGCACCACATCCCTAACCGAATAATATCCGACTTCAATCCCATTCATCATTATTTCATGTCGAATATTCTCCACTTTATAAAGATACAACGCATGATACAACGCATGTCTTCTGCACCCGAATGTTCAACTCCCGGATACAAAGTATAAACCAAACAATGTGAGGCAGATATATATATATATATATACTGTATACACAGACGATACGCAGGACATACGCAGGACATACGCAGACGATACACAGAACATACGCAGAGCATACGCAGGACATACGCAGGACATACACAGAACATACGATGGACATACACAGACGATACGCAGGACATACGCAGGACATACGCAGGACATACGCTGGACATACGCAGACGATACGCAGAACATACGCAGACGATACGCAGAACATACGCAGACGATACACAGAACATACGCAGACGATACACAGACGATACGCAGAACATACGCAGGACATACGCAGGACATACGCAGAACATACGCACTCGCAGTGATGTCATTGTGATCTCCATCCAATGTATAGAAATCATATATTCAGTACAACGTCCTTCTCCGATCCCACAGGTACCATACAAGCAGAATTCAGGCTCCATTCAGCGGTAGGCAACCTCGGCACTCCAGCTGTGGTGAAACTACAAATGCCATCATGTCTCTGGGAGTCATGTCTGCTGCTGTTAGTCATGCAATAACCTCATGGGAGTTGTAGTTCCACAACAGCTGGAGGACCAACTCGACCTACTTATGTTGTTTGTGATATTTCATTATAATGTATTTAGTGATTTTTTTTACAACGCAAACGGAATTTGTCTTTTATCTGAGGAGAGTAAATGGTGGTGTACAGATCCCGAGTGTTAGGGTGACAACCCCGGTGAAATAGTAATAGCAAATGAAGAAAGAAAGAAAGCCGTTGGGGTTTGTCCAATAAACAAAAAGATTGTATATATATATATAGAGAGAGTAAAATATATTATTTATTTGTACAAAAAGATTTAAAAATATCAATATGCAAATATATTAAAAAAGCACAAAATACATGAAAATGAAGAGAACCTCCTAATGTCTCGTTCACACCTCGGCGTATTGCATATGCGCGTCTGTCTGCGATTCGCGGTAAAAAAAGTCGCGCGACCGTCGTGCGTTTCCGAAGGCTACTTGGCTGTATCCCGATGGAAACGCGCAACAAAAACGGCCCAAAGTAGTACCTGGACCTTTTCAGGCGCGGGCCGTTTTGTAGCGCGTTAGGGACGGGCGGAAATACGCCGAGGTGGGAACGAGACCATTGAATACAACGGGATTTATATTTTTGAGCGTTTTGTAGAGCGTTCGTCGAGCGTAGAACGTGCTACAAAACGTTCTGGTGTGAACGAGGGCTAACACTAGACATGTGCGATTTGTTTCGTTACGAATGGAAATTCGTACTAATTTTCCTGAAATTCGTAAGCATCCAAAATCCGAATCGCAGTTTCCGAATTATATCCGAAATACGAAATTCCGTTAACGAATTTCGGATCCGAATTTCTTTGAAACGGGAACTAATATTACCCCTGTAAATGAGGTTGAACAACATGACAAGATTTTTTTTTTAATCCGAAATACGGATCGGCTGCTGCTGAGAGTCGCATTACAATACACAGGCAGGAAATACGAAATTCCGTTGCGGA